TTCATGTTAGTGACAAGTTAATCACCCATCGTTGGTGTTGCGATGCATGTAATACAATTAACTAATTCCATCCCGTTATGATGTGCGCCTGGCGCAGCCAGGCCAGCTCGGCGAAGCCGAGCTAAAAAGAAGGAGGAGAGCTCGGCGTCAGCCGTGCGATCCGACTGGTTAGACATATATAGTGATTTTCGAGCGCGCTGACCATCAAACCATAGATGTCGCCCACGGCAGTATTCAGACTTCGCGATGACGCGTGACGACGGGCAGTAACTCGTGTTGCCTCTCTACTATTACACTAGCGTTCCAGTGCTAATGAAGGGAATTAGTCAACCAGTATCGATCGGGGTCGGCCGCTACTGCTTCAAGAGAGTATGGGAGAACAGTAGGGTACGCATTGTCTCATCCAAACTTTGCGATAAGGCAATGCGTGCCCTACTCCCTGCAAGGAAGAACAAAGTGTTCGGTACACCCTGTTCTTCCTTACTTACCGAAAACACTGGCGACCGGCACCGATCGATAGCCGTCGGCTGCGTTATCGCATCGGAGAGCTATTGCAACTGTAGCGCGTCGGCGCGCATCATCAAGTTTGAACGCTGCCTGGTGAGCGCTCCAGTGGGGTAGTGGGGAGAACAGCGCTACTGACAGTATACGTTTCACGCGATGATAGGATAGTAGGCGGTCTCGGTAATGGTTAGCGCACACGAACGGTAAGCGTAAGATGCAGGTTTGAGTCACGCCTGAGGTCAAATTTTCTGCTCATCACGCAGCATCCTTGTGAATTCCTTTAGCTTCGACTTGTGCTTTATTGCATTTTTAGACTCCGTCGCATGACACCGGAATCTCGCTTCACTCGTTCAACAGCGGTGAGGTTATCACGCCAATGCCTTGAGGTGACGTTTTCAATTCAATCGGAAGTGACTGGTCAAAGGCGAAGTGAAAGATTAGCAGAAATCCTGAAAAGGGACTGAATTAAAGAAAAACTGAATAAGGGTTGAAAAAGAAAATGGGAGATGCAAAGGAGAACTATAAGAGCTACAGTTCCGCTTTAGGCAAGGATGCCAAAAGAGAAGTGATGATGATGCACTGATTCCAGGCGATTCATGATCTCCACCGTACTGGTATTCTCCATCGAGATATTAAAGCCAGCAATTTTGCCTGGTCTGCGGAGCGCATTGTCTACCTACTCGATCTCGGGTTCTGCAGGAGATTTGTGAGTTGATGCTTCCAACTAACTCAATCTTGCTTGCTGCGGATGCTGGGGCCTGTCAGGAGGGGGGGGGGGAGGGGGGGGGAGGTTGTCCATCAGTTGTTGAAGTAGGACATCGACAACAGTGGAAAACGAGCTGGCACTGCACCCAGTCCGGTCCCTCCCCTGACACGCCCCACTATCCGCAGCGAACAAGACTGTAAATTGTTTGTCAAATTTCTACGCCAGTGTTTTATTGATATTTTATCCTTATACAAGCAGAATTTCTCTATGCCTTATCCCAGTGAAAGATGTAATTACTTGCAGCTGGCGTTTAATGAGCAAGAGGAAGTGAAGCATCGCGCTCCTAGGAAGAAAGTAGCCTTCCTCGGCACAAGCAAGTATTGCTCACCTAACATGCACAAGAAGCTGGATCAGGGACGAAGGGACGATTTGTGGGCGTGGTTGTACATGACTGTTGAGTTCATGGCGGTGAGCGAGAAGCCTTCGTTCTATTGTTCGCTTTGCTCACTTTCGAAGGGAGCTGGGCAAAGTCAACTTGAAACAGCTATATGGCCAGGGATTTTAGGGTAAACTTATCTGGCGCAATGATGAAGACAAGGTAATCGAGAAGAAAAAAGAGAAAATTGGTTCGAAATTGCTATCGAAATGCCCACAAGAGATGTACATGGTGTACGATCACATTCGTAGTCTGGAATTTGACTCGAAACCGAATTATCCTATGCTGAGAAGGCAACTTGATCGGGTTGGTTGACGCAGAAGTACTCGCTTACATCCTATACCCCGAAGATGAGGAGGGCGTGATTGCGTACATCATTTGAAAGAGGCGGCGGCTGCGCGCCTGGTGGTACTTCAATTGGGATGATGTAGTTATTTTCCAGTACTAGACAGAACGACAGTTGCCAACAAGAGAGATAGAAAAAAACGCATCCTATGCCGCGCTCAAATGAATTACGCGGCCACACCCCTTCCATCTCGGGATATGGAGTGTACTTCCACCAACATTTTCAATGCATACAGGTGTGTGCTCGGCTTGATTACCACGAAGATCAGCCATATGACTGGGAAGAAGGCGGCTACTACTATGAATATTATACTAAAAAGTCCGACACCGAAAAAGATTTGACGGAAAAAGATGTGAAAGTGTAAGTATACTTGATATCGTGCAGTCAGTTGGGGCTGTGTCAGGAGGTGCAGGGTGAGGTGCCCCGGCTGCTTTTTTTCACCAGTAGGGAAGGGTCAGTGATCGATTTAGGACAAAACAGCCGGTGGTAGGGAAGCCGGGCAAGCTCACTCCATGCCACTTGACACCTTGACACCGCCCCGACTGATTGCGACGATATCAACAGTATACCTTTGCCTCAGGGCTCCATAAGGCTGCGTTTATACTTTGCGGCAGCGTAGCGTAGCGCTTCCAGCGTACGCCAGCGGCAGTGC